GAGAGAGAGAGAGAGAGAGAGAGAGAGAGAGAGAGAGAGAGAGAGAGAGAGAGAGAGAGAGAGCTCAACTGAAAAACGCCCGGGCTTTCTTTTTCGCCTATCTGCATATTAGATGGAATCATATTATCATAGCGTATGAGAGAAAGAAAGAAAGAAAGCCAAAAAAAACAAGAAAGATATAGGTTCCGTGGCTTATCTTTAAATGATTGTGGTTATACTGCATGTAGTGCGTACTCCAATTTATGTGGTGAATTACCTATCTTCGAGTGATTCTGATAATAGTGAATGTACTATGTTCTATGTAGTCTATGTACTACGTACTAGGAACTATGTACTAGGAACTATGTACTAGGTACTATGTACTAGGACCTATGTACTAGGTACTATGTAGTTACACTATAATGTACTATGTAGTATATGTATCACCATTAGTATGTACCATATAGTGTATGTACTATGTAGTGTATGTATTATGTAGTGTATGTACTATGTACTGTATGTACTATGTACTGTATGTACTAGGTACTCTGGATTTACACTATGTTGTTCTATGTGCTATGTAGTGTGTGTATGTAGTGCATGTACTAGGTACTCTGTATTTACACTATTACGTACTATTTACTATGTAGTGATGTAGCATGTACTCTGTACTATGGACTTGTCTGGTGTACTACCTACTATGCACTATGCTACGTGGCACCCTTGGCCGTGGATCCCGCGGCGTAGGCCACGGCCGAGTTTACGTGCCGCCCCACCACAGCCAGGCGGAGCCGCGCGCCACCTGCGCAGGTCGGGCTTTTGCCCCCTGCCCCCCCCCCCCCAAAAAAAAAAAAGTGGGGGGGTTAATATTTCGTATTTAGGTGGGTTTTAGAAAAAATATAACCCCCCCCAATGAAGATGAAGAGAAAAAAAAAGGAGGCAAAGCCGCACGGAGAAGAAGAAGAACCAGATGGGGAAAAACAAAAAAAACAGCAAATAACATGAAGAAGTAAAAAAAGAAAAAGCAAATATAAGACGAAGAAGAGGAAGAAGAGGAGGAAGAAGACGAAGAAGACGAAGAAGAAGAAGAAGAAGAAGAAGAAGAAGAAGAAGAAGAAATCTCTCTCTCTCTCTCTCTCTCTCTCTCTCTCTCTCTCTCT